ATGCTCTTGCCCCCTCCATGCAATGAATGCACGTTATTGAATTAGCGGGGGGGTTTTTTAGAGCATTAAAATTGCTCAGGTAATTTCAGTGGTAGGCTAGGATACATATTCATGTAGCCTACTCCCCATAACTAGCAAACTCCCTGTGATAGCGCGCGATATATCTGCCAGTTTTCGCTCGTTGTCATGCCTATGCTTTTCTGCAACAGACTGAAGCCGCGTGAATTCAGCCTGCCTTGTATTCAGCTAATAAAAGAAAAATGCTGCTATTTTCTGGTGTTATTTTATTATTGTTGGGGCAGTCTCCAGCTATATCTTAAACTTCTCAAAATACAGTCCACTTCAGATTGGTTTTAATCACTGCATAAAAAAATTAATGCAATCTTTATCTAATTCTGATTGGGTGGTCAAGACAGCCTCAGCCCACCCCTGCCCATGCCTGGAGCCGGTGTCGTGGCCCCGCTTAGGCTAAACTATTCCTTAGTTTTGGATACACAACATTATTTGGCACTTTTATCCAAAGTGACTTATATTGCATTCACATTGGTATTGCTAGCACCATGTTTTATGATTTAAGCTACAGGACTATCTTAGTCAGGTTTGAATCTAATGTGTATGAAAACGACGCTGTGAGGAATTTTTCAGCAGTCTTTTCAGTGGCACACACTGTATAAAAGTCACAGCTTTCAAAACTGTTTTATGGAGTTTTTGTCTGCTGAAAGTTTTTCGTCTAACATTGTTGTTAAACAACAATCCATTGAACTTGCTGTAGCCTACTTCTATCCCTCACAGCATCGTTTTCATTCCTGTCAAAAATTAAATAAAGTGCTACACTGACTGAGGTCTATGCAGCCAGTTACTTCATGATAGCTTGTTATTACTCTATGGGATCTCACAAGAATAATTTGATCTTTACTTTGAATGATTTGCTGGCTTTTTAGTTTAAATTAATCTAAGTTACAACTACGACATGACAAATAAGCAACCGCTGCTTCAAAAACAAGCCCAATATTTTTTGATGATTTATTATCATTCATCGCACGCGCCTTCTTTTTGAACGTGATTTTCTCCAATGAGGGCGAGGAGGGGGCGGGACATTTGGCAAATTACGCTGCAGCACTTATTATTGCACTGGTTGGCTATTAACTGCGAGCAGACAGAGTGTCATTCAATGCATTGGAGAATACGGCGAACATAAATAAAGAAACGAAGTTGCTTGTCAGATTTCCCTAACAAGTAACCATATTTTTTTTAAATAATCCCCAAAAAAAGCACCCCGCGACCTGGGGTTTTTTCAAGCAACTTTAAAAATAAAAAAAAAGAAGCCCAAAGTCGCGTATAATACGCGGACTTGGCAACTATGGACATGATTAATACATCCAGCTATTTAGTTAGCAGCCGTTGAGTAAACCATGGGTCATTACTGCCCCCTAGAGGCCTCAACAAGTATCGTCTCACAGGTAGAGTGCAAACGCATAGTAAATGCCTTGTGGGCAAACTGACAGAAAATATTTAACCAATATGACGGCATAGACAATATCTCCCTTACTGTATGTACAGTACACAACTACTTTCTTAAAAAATTACTATAATTCACCAAAAGGGTTTTTTTATGTTCCAAAGGTTGTAGTACATTTGTAGTTACAAAACTGACTTACTACAGGTGAAATTTTGCCAATATCTCCCTTACTGTACATACAGTACATAATTATTCTTAGATAACAATTACTCTAATTCACCAAAAGTGTTTTTTTTTCATGTTCCAAAGGCTGTAGTACATTCCTAGTGGCCAGACTGAGTTACTACAGGTGAAATTTTGCCAATATCTTCCTTACTGTACATACAGTACATAATTAATCTTAGAAAAAAATTACTGTAATTCACCAAAATGTTTTTTTTTCATGTTCCAAAGGCTGTAGTACATTCCTAGTGGCCAGACTGAGTTACTACAGGTGAAATTTTGCCAATATCTTCCTTACTGTACATACAGTACATAATTAATCTTAGAAAAAAATTACTGTAATTCACCAAAATGTTTTTTTTTCATGTTCCAAAGGCTGTAGTACGTTTGTAGTTACAAGACTGACTTACTACAGGGGAAATTTTGCCAATATCACCCTTACTGTACATACAATACATAATTAATCTTAGAAAACAATTACTATAATTGCCCAAAGTTTATATTTTTATTTTACAAAGGTTGTAGTACATCACTAGTGGCCAGATTGACTTACTTCAGCTGAAATTTTGCCAATATCTCCCTTACTGTACATACAGTACATAATTATTCTTAGAAAACAATTTTTGTAATTGCCCAAAAGGGTTTTTTATGTTCCAAAGGTTGTAGTAAATTACTAGTGATCAGACTGACTTACTACACATGAAATTTTGCCAATATCTCCCTTACTGTATATACAGTACACAACTATTTTCTTTTAAAAATTACTATAATTCACCAAAAGTTTTTTTTATGTTCCAAATGTTGTAGTACATTACTAGTGGCCAGACTGACTTACTACAGGTGAAATGTTGCCAATATCTTCCTTACTGTGTATAATCTTTAAAAAAAATTACTGTAATTCACCAAAAGTGTTTTTTTCATGTTCCAAAGGCTGTAGTACATTCCTAGCGGCCAGACTGACTTACTACGGGTGAAATTTTGCCAATATCCCCTTACTGTACATACAGTACATAATTATTATTAGGAAACAATTACTGTAACTGCCCAAAAGGGTTTTTTTATTTTCCAAAGGTTGTAGTACATCACTAGTGGCCAGACTGACTTACTACAGGTGAAATGTTGCCAATATCTTCCTTACTGTGTATAATCTTTAAAAAAAATTACTGTAATTCACCAAAAGGGTTTTTTTCATGTTCCAAAGGCTGTAGTACATTCCTAGTGGCCAGACTGACTTACTACAGGTGAAATTTTGCCAATATCACCCTTACTGTACATACAGTACATAATTATTCTTAGGAAACAATTACTGTAATTGCCCAAAAGGGGTTTTTTATTTTGCAAAGGTTGTAGTACATCACTAGTGGCCAGACTGACTTACTACAGGTGAAATGTTGCCAATATCTTCCTTACTGTACATAAAGTACATAATCTTTAAAAAAAATTACTGTAATTCACCAAAAGTGTTTTTTTCATGTTCCAAAGGTTGTAGTACATTTCTAGTGACCAGACTGAATTACTACACATGAAATGTTGCCAATATCTCCCTTACTGTACATACAGTACATAATTATTCTTAGATAACAATTACTATAATTGCCCAAAGTTTATATTTTTATTTTACAAAGGTTGTAGTACATTTCTAGTGACCAGACTGAATTACTACACATGAAATGTTGCCAATATCTCCCTTACTGTACATACAGTACATAATTATTCTTAGATAACAATTACTATAATTGCCCAAAGTTTATATTTTTATTTTACAAAGGTTGTAGTACATTTCTAGTGACCAGACTGAATTACTACACATGAAATGTTGCCAATATCTCCCTTACTGTACATACAGTACATAATTATTCTTAGATAACAATTACTATAATTGCCCAAAGTTTATATTTTTATTTTACAAAGGTTGTAGTACATTCCTAGTGACCAGACTGACTTACTACAGGTGAGATTTTGCCAATATCTCCCTTACTGTACATACAATACATAATTATTCTTAGATAACAATTACTATAATTGCCCAAAGTTTATATTTTTATTTTACAAAGGTTGTAGTACATTCCTAGTGACCAGACTGACTTACTACAGGTGAGATTTTGCCAATATCTCCCTTACTGTACACACAATACATAATTATTCTTAGATAACAATTACTATAATTGCCCAAAGTTTATATTTTTATTTGACAAAGGTTGTAGTACATTCCTAGTGACCAGACTGACTTACTACAGGTGAGATTTTGATTTTGCCAATATCTCCCTTACTGTACATACAGTACATAATTAATCTTATAAAAAAATTACTGTAATTCACCAAAATGGTTTTTCCATGTTCCAAAGGCTGTAGTACGTTTGTAGTTACAAGACTGGTAAAAAAAATGGAAAAAACATGGTGGTGGAAAAAAATTCGGGGTGGGAGGAAAAATCTTTTTTCAAATGTTTTGCCTTCTCTTGAAAAACTTTTGTGTTCCCTTGAGAAACGTTGCGTTCTCTCGCAAAGATTTGCATTCCCTCGCAAAACCAGTTGAGTTCGGACAAACTCTTCCTGTTTACTTTACAGCTTGCAGTGGTTCATACTAGGGGTGACCCCGAATAGTCGACGATTCCATGCTTCGATAGAAGGAGCCTGACTCGACTACCAATCTCACAGTCGAATATTCGCGGGGTATGACCGTTTTGGCTATATGGTGGTGCTCAAATGTCTGATTTCACATAGAACTACCAGTTTTCTCCCAATAAGTTAATATATATCCTATTATGATAATGCTGTAAATAAGAATCTGAAAAGAAAGAAGCTTCAAATAAATATTTTAATGTACAAATCCAACCACCCCTATATATTTAAGTTTCACTTTCCACAATCTGTGACCAACAGAGGAGCATCTTGGCGGCAGGCAGGGGCTATTCTAGGATTTTCATTTTAGGGGGGCTCAGTCCCCAATGAGTGTATAATATATATATATATATATATATATATATATATATATATATATATATATATATATATATATATATATATATATAAATTATTTTAAATGGTAATATTTCACAGTATTACTGTTTTTGACTATGTTTGAAAAAAATGCAGCCTGTGTGAACATAAAAATCTTTTAAACATAATTTTTACTTTTACTTTTTAACGCTCATATGATTTATGCAGTGTGACCTGGTCATATCTTCATGATTTTCACTCACTAATGCGGCATATGTTGAAAATGTTTTGTTTTATGGAGATGCTGATGTCCATGCTGATTTATAGTTTACTGTTTGTGAGACACGCTGGCAATGCGAGTTGAATAAATCAGAAAAATCCAAAAGGTTCATGCATATTTTATTCAAGAGTAAAAAAAGAGATTTGTCCCATAGGGCATGCTCACACTGTCCGTACTGTAGGTCAGGAAATCATGATGCTCAGAATGAATCTCCAGAGAAAAATACAAGATATAGAATCACAAATAACTCATGAACATTTTCATTATTCATAAAGTAAAGCACAATGAGCAACCAAAACAAGGATGAAGCAAAGTGGAATAAACCAGCAGAACTCTTAATAATAATCATAAGTAACCAGAATATTGTTTAGAATAATGATCAGAATATACTTCTCCTTAAAAATGTGAGACACGTTAAGGTGTGTCCATATTCGATTTACATTTGAAATAACCATGCAGTCATGCTTTGGCAGTCCGGATGTCTTTTCACAGAATTATATGTTCCTTCACACTACTGGATAACTTCTGTACATCGATAAAGAAATGCAAAAGGTTTAACACCTCATCTGAGCTTAATTAACTGTACAGCAATGTAAACAAACGAAAAAGAACCCAACAAACAATAAATAAATAAATAGCTTGAATACAAAACAAAATAACATGAAAATAAGCGATAACAAAACGGTCCTTAAAAATATACGCCATTTATATACAAAATAAACTCCCATGAATTATGCGTGGTTGGAAATCCGTTCTGTCTAGTGCGCCAACACAAGACAAGGACCTGTTTGAAACCACTCATAACAGCTCAGCTCAAATCACCCCCCTGTTTCTCGCACACACACTTCCCCCTGCTCAGCTCCGGAGCACCAGAGGAGGCGGGAAAGTGTCAGACTGCCATAGCAACCGCAGCACGACGTGACAACGGCGGATTTACACAACACAGCGAGCACACAGCATGAGGGGCGTTACGGCGACTCCAGACCCTCTGTTATTAGTGGATTAATCGTGATAACCTGCGTGAAGTTATTCTGTGTAATATTAGTTATTCCATAGATATAGTGATTACTAGTTGCAAAATATAGAACTGCAAGAGAAGTGTGAAAGTAAACGGTTACAAGCTTCTCGCACACGTACGAACGCAAACGTACGCTCCGACGCTTTCGAATAAATAGTGCGTCGGCCTTGTGTTTTATGTTTCACAGCAGGCCAAGAAAAAAAAAGGTAAGCGTTTGTGAAAACCTACTTATTATCATCATCATCATCATCATCGTATAGTAATTATATAACCCATGTCGCCCACGCACGCACACAGACACGCACGCAAAGTGCAAACACGCATAAACAAACATCTCTTCGGACAAAGGAACAGGAAATGCACTCCGTGTTCATATTTCCATTACATAGCCCCATATCCATAAAACTACATATCCCATCATGCAACTCGCACGCATGATCATCTTCGCGCGGCCCGTCTCGAGTTTGTCGTTGAGGCCGCTGAACGTCAAGCAGGGAGTTCTGTCTAAATATATCACATAATCCATCTGCTACATAGACAGTAGCAGTGAAAATGAGGGGAGAGGGGAGATTTGTATTAAAGGAGCAGGGGCGAGCGAGGGACGGGAGGAGGAGGAGGAGGAGATGAATCACTGGATATTGCTGTTGTCATCCGTGCCGTTGGATTCGGCCATGTTCATCTTGCCCATCGACAGCCCCACGCTGTTGACCACGTCTCGGCGAGGCGGCATGCGCTCGTTTATGCGGTCCAGACCCTTCGCTTCCGCGAAACTGTTGATCTTGTGCTGTGGAGAAAAGCCACGGATGGCTACGAGAAAAAAAAGAAAGAGAAAAGGAGAGCAGTCACCAATTGCGCATGGGCAAAATCTAAACCAGACTAGCAGACATACCACAGATGATCACATACTGTTAGACAGATGAGTGGATTATTCTACAAATTGGATACAGTCACCGAAGTGTTCTCTTGACATGATGATATATCTATATCCAGAGATACACACATACACATGTCTGGGTCATATTTCACTTCAAAATCATATTTTGCAGTTATTTTGTGACCCCCCCCCCCCCCCCC